CACACACACACACAGACATCTGTAAGATGGCATGCTAGAGCTCTACTGGCACTACCAACTGAAAACCATCCTCAGCTGTGTTTCTCATATTTTCTTCAGTCTTTAATGTTTTGGTGTTTGTCTTGTTTAGGTTGCACGCCTACAGAATTCCAGATCTGATGTCTGTCTCAATGGGGGGGCCGTCAGCGTACAGGGTACACCTGAACGGGCCCTGCTGTGGGAGCTGAGGAGTTTCTGACTTGCATGTTGAAAGTAATCCACTTGAATTGCCTCCAAACTCAGAAAGTCTGGACTTTCTCAGAACTCGGGTTCCTCTTGCTGTCAAACAATGACATTCAGTGCCTGCTCATAAATATAGTGTCTGAATAGAAACCAGGTCTACTTCCACTAACTGCTGGAGAGATTTCTGCTGGAAAAAACTGACTTGTTTTTTATCATTGTCAACCAGAAATCCAAATGAAGTGGGTCTCAACTAGGGGTGTAAGAAAATATGGAAAATTATTGTTTTGTGACATTTTATTTTGTGATATAGTATCAATCAAAAACACTCTGTTTTCTCTGGAGTGTGGATCGGTTTCAGCCGACCATGCTCATAGTTTCTGGACCCTATGTTGAGCCTTTCTGCAAAGAAACGGGTCATTTAGTCTCAGAGATTCTGGACATTAATTACAAACAATTACAAACTGCTGGCTCCAGACAGACCGTCCCACCATCGCCCTTCTGCTCAACATAATCAACTCTATTTCCTCCTTAGACAATGACTGCATACGAGAAGGGAGGACACATACTGGGAAAAATGAGATTATTATAATCATCCAGATTTTTAACATTTTAATTTTTGTCTTTTATACACATTTTGAACTGTACCTGTGCCTTTTGGTTTTTCTGTCTTTATTTCACTGTTTGTGTTGTATCATTTTGTCTATGTAAATGCAAAAATCTGTAATGATTATGGTCGCTTAAAGTTATTTTTCATGCAAACATGTCTGCAGTAAAGCACTGATCAGTGGAATGAATGTGTCTTGATTTCTGCTCAGCAGTGTGCTGTCTTTCTTTCTGATGATGATGTTTGAGCTGCTGCCTAGCATTCACTGTTATAACGGTGCCAACTGTTCTGCTACTGAGTCCAAAAACAACACCAGCTGCTGAAACTTAACACAGGGTCATTCCCAGGAAAGACATTCCTGATGGCAGGTGTGTTGCTTTCGTTCACCTGCTAACTGAGAACAGCACATTCCCTCGTTAAGCCTCGTGACTACAAGTGCAAAACATGTAATTATTTACATGAAAATGTGTTATTATCAGTTTAAATGAGGATCTAATCCTTTAGAAGAATACTGACAAAGGAACTTGGCAACTCTGTTACTACTTCAAATCTGATATGAAAGGCGCTGTGTACCTGAGGGGAGCTCGTCTTTCCCTGGCAGTGCACCCACTTCTGCTTCGCTGAAACACACACAACAAAGGGAAATGAGAATGAAGGATAAGTGCATAATGAGGGTAAGTGAATGTCATTCACAAAGTTGGAAAGGCCAAAGAAAATCCCCCCAAAACTGGCGGCGGATTATTGACTATAGATCCACATATGAGGATTTCATGGTCTCTTACAGTATTCCGTGCAGATTTTGGATCATTATCTCACATATTTTAGTTCCTGCGGGACTCAAATATTTAAGACTTTTTGAGACTATTATGAATGCAATCCAAGACCTATTTCACGTCTATACTGGCAACAAAGTACGAAGTCTTGCATTTTGTAGTTTTACCACGTGATCAATACAAACATTTCCCATAAAGACAACTTTATACAAGTGATGTTAACTTCATTAATCTAATGAAAATGACCTGTCAAAATCATATTTGAGATTTTAAATTCAGCATTGTGGTATATTTTGGGCCACAGCTCTGTTGAAATGTGACTTAAGTATAAAGCTGAACCAGACATGCAGTTAAGGGTGAGCAGGAGCCTCATTTATTTGTAACACAAACTTGGAGAACAACTGGAACCTGTTACAAAACATTGCAGAGCTCTTTTTTTATATTGCACAATGGAAAAATTAGACGCATTAACCAATAACGGGTCGTCGGGTATCTAATGACTGAGACAAACCGAATGCTGTGCTGAACCAGGTATGGCACAGGAACCTACATGTCCTGTTAGTGTGTAGAAACTCCTTCCCGACACAGCTTTGTATGAATAAATTAAATGTTCTTGTGTTGTTGCTGGCTTGTTGAGGCTGGAATCGACATGCAACAACAAGTTTTCATCCGTCACGTTTGCAGACAAAAAACACTGGCTGCCAACATTAGTCGTACCAGGCATACACCGCCACGGGGAAACTCACCAATGTCAAACACCCACAGGGGACATCTCCACTTGGTGTATGCAGAATCCAGCATGCCGCCAAACACGTACAAGAAACCCTGAAAAGGTCAAAGCTGTGACACACATCCCCACACTAACACACCAAACAGTGTCATATTAGCAGAGGAAGCAACTTAAGATAATGCATATGTTTTTATGGCATTTAAAGTAAATGATCTTGCTGAGTTTGTACCTCATGAGCCACCATAGAATGTTCCTCTAGTTCTTCTGGTGCAGATTCACCGGTGCAGTTCAACTCCGTCCACTCGTCATGCACTATAATATCGCACACAATGATATGTTTGATTAGCCGGGGGTCGGACAGCCACACGCTGCTTCATGCAACACGGCAGAGCAGAGCGCATCATGCAGGGCAGTTTTCTATGTATATCATTCCTCATATGAAATACTGTAATAATAATGCAACGTTGTTTTAAATTCAGCAGATGATTAAAGCTGCAGTAGGTGATTTTTATAAAATCCTGACAGCAGAACACGAGACCGATAATCTGTGAAAGATTCCTCTGACTCCTCCTTACAGCATTTGCAAGAATTCACCAGGCCTGAACCAAAACAACCAATCAGAGTGAAGAAAGATAGTTTATTGTTTTTGCTTTGGGACCCTGGGATTGACGCTCAACAATCAACTATCTTCAATCTCCAAACTAGTGTTTTTATATCTTTCATCACAGATTTATCACAGATTATCTCTCTCATGTCACTCTCTCAGGATAGAGTAAAAGTTTCAGCAACTACGACAAAGTTATTTTTATAAAAATGACCTACTGCAGCTTTAATCTGCTTTGTGCAGCAGTAAATGGAACAATAGTTGTGCATGCAGGCCTTACCCACGCTGTACCTCCAGAAGTCCCTCAGACAGCTGTTGTCTCTTCCTCCCAGGACGTAGACATTTCCATCATAGCTGCAGCAGGCGTGCTTGAAGCGGTTACATGGAGACCGACTGCTCTGGGGGAGCCGAGTCCACAGGCAGGGGCTACTCTGACTCATAATTGGCATCGTCCACGTTCATTTTCTGAAAGACACAACATCAAAGTTACAAAATATTGTCTGAAATGTCCCCAGAGCCCTTTTTTTCATTTTCTTGGCATATTAAAATGTGAACAAACTTTGCTAATCCAATAGGTCTGACTTCCTTCAAGCACTATGGGAAAATACTCACACTGAATGTTTTAGTTCGAACATGGAAAATCATTTTATGCTTGGAATGAATTTGGACTCAATTTGAAAATAACATTATTTTAGTAGTTTCCAGTAGAGGGCGCTGTTAAAATGCATCAGCTTGACCTATTACACGGCCTGGTAACCCATCAGTAAAATAGCTTGTAAACTAAGCTAATGAACAAAAATGGAGGACACTGGCGAGACGGCATTTTTTTGGTGTTAAGCAACCAAAAAGAAAAGCTGGAGAGAGAAGTCACGGAGGGCGGCGTCTGAATGGTGCAGCAGCCCGGAGATCCTGCCTAAAATATTATTCACATACTGCACGATGCAGTTTTATGGCCGGTAAAAAACATTTTCGGCTGCTAAATTTTCCCAGTTTATCTGCTGGTGATCAGTAGGCTGCACAATGAATCCAATATTAATCACCATCACGATTTTGGCTTCCCACAATTAAATTCATTGACATCGACTACGATATTGACGTTCAGAATGATCTGCTCATAGAAACTCCTGCGTATCAAATCAAGTGCTTCCTATACTAACAGCCACAGGGGACTGAGATGGTTTCCCTCCTGGGGAGCTGTCCTGTCGCTGCACACACAGCCTGTAAGTGCAGCCTGGATACTTTTATCCCCAGCAGAAACTGCTGTATTAAGTTACTGCTCACGAAACCCCAACATTTCCTACTGCTGCTGCTTCACATTAAAAGCATTTAACTGGCGAAACACGAGGGGGGAATTAGTGCCCTGCTCTGTAACCGTGAACTAAACGTTGGGTAGGTGGTGGAGAACAGCCCAGCCGGTCAGAAAAAGCAACAGCACAAGCAGAAGAACAGCAGGGCAGGGAAGCAGGTCTAAGTTAGTCTGATGATCACCATCTGGACATAAGGTCTGCATCAACTGCCTGACTGCTTTCCTATTGGAACGTCAGCCGATGTGTTATAAGAGTGTTACTGCTTCTCCAAAACCTCCTGTGGCTGAAATCCACCACGTACAACCACCACACAGCTTCCAGGGGAAAAGCACAACCCTGCAGAGACACTGACAACACTAACCCAGCAGTCAGGTGCTCTGGGATCTCAGTGAGGACAGGAAATGATCTGCTGCTCTTCCACCTCTGACCACACCCGATAGCTTCTGCGTCTGTTGCAGCCTCCTACAATGGCACGAGCCACTGCGTGTTAGCAGGACAGCGCTGGTTGTCATGGCTATGGAGAGCTTGGCTCCTAAGGGTGCTCAGCTGGGACTGTGACTCACACAGCACCTGACTGCTGCTGCTACGGGCCCCGGGGTCAGCAGGGAAACACACTGTCATACAAAAACTGGGAAGCTCTGGGGAGGAACTCTCTAGTCACCAAATGTTCTTGTGCAGGTGGAAATGCCAACTACAATCATCATCTTAGTTCTTCATCTGGCCTTTCTGATCACGTAAAATAATACCAATAAATAACACAATTAGTTGTGGATACAATGCTCTTGAAGAAAACATACATTTTATAATTGATTGTGTTGCATTAGTAACAATAGCACAGTAGCATAGCCTTAACCCCTCTAAAAACTGACCTCCTGGGTAGACCTTTTTTATTTCATTTACTAAAAACTGATAAAAACGACTCAATTTAAAGTGTTTATCCACTTATATAACCTTTTAGCTTAGCTTGTACAGATTTTAAGGATATGAATCATTTCAAGGTTTTCCAAGAAATGAAATCACAAAAGGCCAAAATACCAATGTAGGCACTGGCGAGAGTTCAAAGTTAATTAATAATTCATTAATTCATTAATTGTGGGAGAAACTATAGTACAAATGTTTAAAAAGAGAAGAATGACAGCGCTAGGACACTAAAGTAGAAAAATCGGTTTTGTTTCTTTAACCCTATGTGGTCTAACGGCATTTTCTTCTTGAATTCACCTTTAAAGGGACTTGCATAGCATAAACCAATGTGTTTTATATAGCTATCTGTATAATGGGCACTATTTGTCACAGAGCACTGTGTAAAGACATTATTTGACCCTAAAGCATTAAAAACTGATTTTTGAAAATGAACTGAAATGGGTTTATCACAGTCTTAGGTTGACAAAAATAGTGGAACATATGAATAAAATAGTATATAAATGTTTAAGAAATGAGTTAAGTTAGTTAAGTGCAGACTGACCCAGATTCAGATGATGCTTTCTGGATTTAGAGGTGACCTCCAGCCCGGCTCATCGGGACAGAAGTGACAGAGGAGGTTCTTATAGAATCCCTCACAAACATGTCTCATCTCTCACCTGTCTCTTCCTGTTCTGTCTCCTGGAGCCCCGTCCTCCCCCGTCCTCCCCCCGTCCTCCCCCCGTCCTCCACAATGACACCAGAGGAGGTATGGTGGTGACGGAGGGACCGTGGATTTGCAGTTTTACAGAAAGGCCCGCCTAATTATTTACAGCGTTGTGATCAAATACTCACACGCTCTCCTTAAAAACAGATATTTATTTAATATTTGTGCTAAAACGGCATAGTCTGTGTATTAAAAGTTTCCTGAAATTGTATGTTTAAATATGCAAATGACTATTAAATAATAATAATTTGCAGATTTGCGTACATTTCCACAACAGAAATAAGAAGAATAGATAAAGCCATTTTTTGTTTCATTTATTAGGAAACAAGAAATTTCTGTGCAAACATTTTTATTTAATTGTGTTCATATTGTGCGTATGTGATTTGCCTTTAAATGGAAAATGGAAAAATTAACATTACTTTGAAAAATCACATTTTTGTATCAGTAAAATTTGGTATTGTATACATAAGTATATATTACATATTTAAAAAAATCAATGGACTAATTATTGCAGCTCTAAAACGCTTCCCAACTCCAACTAGACCGCCGCGATTAAACACAGCAGCTGTGTGGTTGAATCTGACCTTAACAAAGAAGACATTACGGATTCAGGAGGATTGACTCAGATGTCAGAAAACGAAACGTTCATCGAGGAAACCGATGACTCACTGCAACAAGCATATTTAACAGTTTGCTGTTTCAACACAGTGATTTTCCACACCGCTGTATCTGTGACCAGGCCACAAACTACCCACCTCTCTCTCTCCTTCACATCTTATCAAAGCGTCACATGACCCTGCAGTAACTGTCCAAACACCCAGTGTTACTCTATAAAGAGCTATTTTGTTTGGTTTGCTATTAGAGATAAAAAAAAATCACTTTACAAACAGGAAAGGAATTCAGCAATGTGGTCAGTCACACAAAGAAAACCAGAAGATTGGACGTACATTGATATAACATTCACCTGAAGGATGTGATAGCTTATCTTTGATTTGGTGTAATCTCATACATAATCAACCTTGGAGAAACTGTTATGATGAGGAGTCAGTGGTAGAAACTGCTTGTGTCTGTTCTTCTGGTCCCTCTGTATATTAAGACATTTCAGTAAATGGCTGCGTTTCTCTCTAAAGCCTGGCAGTCAGCGTAACCCGACTGATGTGAAGCTGTCTGTGTCCTGATAGGTCACTGAGAAGCTGAAAAACCTTTCAGTGAATTCACATTTGAAACTTTAACACCTGGAACAGGCTGCTTCTGCTACCCGGAGAACAGTTTGCTCGGGTTAACTGAGGACCTCGGAGAAGAGGCTTGGGGATAAATACCTTTTATACCCTTTTTGAACATTATAATATCCACTCATGTGCCCGTTGGGGCTTTTCATTTGTCTGTAGTGCTCGCTTAAACGTGTTTGCTCTTGTTGTAGAAGCTTACAGAACAGGTTGTTTCCACTGATGTTAGATTTGTATTTTTACCAGCTTGCTCAGAGTTACTGGCCCTGGTTTTAAATGTTGCTGACTCCAACACTGAAACCTGCTGCTTGCTTTAGTTAATGCTCTACATCTCCACCAAATCCATCTCCACTACAGCCCTCTCTGGAATCCAATCATGGAGGCGTGCTTCCTCAAACTCTGCTGTGACACAATCAGACTCAACCGCAACTTCCCCCCCGCCACCCCCCCCGAAAATCTGCATTTTCAACAGCAACCTCTCCTTTGAACACCACGTCAGCCGAATCACCAGGACTGTCTCCCCCAGTCCTTCTCCTCGCTCACAAAGCCCCCCGTCCTCCCTGACCTGCTCCACCGCCACACCTCTTCCACGCCATCCTCCGGTCTCCGCCACTCAGGCCCCCTCTCTCTACAAACACATCTGAGACTTTACTGATCCGACCACTAAGTCACTACAATCAAGCTTCCAATGTGGGATTCATTGCTGTGTTGTTTCTATGATCTAATAACAACCCATTTATTTGCTTAAATCACTGAAAATCACTCGGCCTTTATTGGGGACAGGCGTCTCTTCGGGACAGGCGTCTCTTCGGGACAGGCGTCTCTTCGGGACAGGCGTCTCTAACTGTGCTGCTTCTCCAGAACAGCCTGAATTTCAGCTCGTACTTTCTACTTTCTTTTTTATGGCAGCCTTTGGTTAATGTAAATGAAACCCTTTGAATCTTTGAACTCCTACAGACTGAAGGACGATAAATAATGGACGAATGGACACAGACTGTAAGGGAGTCAGCACTTTTGTGTCTCTCTTGTTTACCAATGCCGGTAAGTCTGAATGAAGCAGACCCTATTTCTTTCTTTTTTCTTTATAACGATGCCGATTGTTGATGTTTGCCTCGCTGGTCGTAGGATTCTTATTTTATGCATATTAAATAAGCAAAGACCTTGAAATTTCCATTTTGTCGCCAGTCAAATTAAAGGGGCTGCTTCACCCAAAAGAGGAGCGGGGAGTTGGGAAGGCCACAGTACCGGGTGGGGCCAGAGGAACCGGATTCTTTCACAGATGACCCGTCTGATGTTCTGCTGTCAGGATGTAGAGAAAGTTTCAACAAAAACTATCTTTATAAAAATGACGGAGTGCAGCTTTAAAGTCCGAGTCTGCAGTTATCCCACACACACACGGGACCTTTAACATCACAGCTACCTTAAACAATTATAACTTTAGTTAATCTGGTTTCCGGTCATCATGTTGCAACAGTGACAGCTAACTGATGTCACTATTAACATTTATATATATATATATATATATATATAATATCTCATTTGTTAAATCGTGAATGGCATGACAACCAGTTCAGGAGCAGTCCGTTAATTTACGGTTCAGACTCCGGGGAGAACATCAACGACGGGGGATTTTAGGAATTGACTTGATATGATAACGAAACTAAGTAAGGAATAAACTTCACAGTCATCTCTCAGTGTCTCACTCTGATGAATTACAGCGCAAACAAACCAGGGAAGATAATAACGGTAAAGTTATAAAGAGGAAATGAGGACGGGAACTTTTCACAGCTACTTTGCCGATTGTGGTCCCATTTGGTGCGAACAACACACAGCACGGGTTATGTGTGAGTGCCAAACTGTTGTCAGACTCTGAAATAGAGTGATTTAGCGCTTTATATTTGTAAAAACTTGGCGTAAAGAATGATTTGTTACTTACGAGATCCCGTCCGCTCCTCTCTCTCCGGCTGTTGTCTCTCTGGTGCTGATGATGCGTTCAAAGACTCTTCGTAAACAGCGTCTTTGGAATGTTGTGAAACTTAACTGTGGATCTAACATTGCAAAAGTGGAAAGTTACAAAAAATAAATCAAATCGAAATGCCTTTTTAAAATAGAGTTATGTAGAATGACATTTACATTTAAGATAAGATTATGTTTCAAAATGATGATGTTTCTTGGCCAGGTCTCTCTTGTAAAAGAGATTTTTGATCTTACCCCAGCGTACACACACCCACACAGTCTGAGCCAGGAGTCTAAATAAATAAATAATGTATTTCATTACTAATATGAAAATGAGGAAATAGATCTATTTTTGCAATCGTAGCAGAGAATTCACAGTGTTTCCAACAGTAAGTGAAGGCAGCTTTTTGAGTGCATACAAGAGGAGGGGGGAGTGTGTGGAAGGGATGGGAGGAAGGGTGATGGTTGAGCTCTCTCTGAACTGTATGTTTGGCTCAGCACTTGTGTTATGTCACAGACAGCTGAACGCCGGTATTATCACATGACAGCACTTACATGGTGGTGGTTTTGTCACTGTGGACGTGCTTTTGCTGTCCCAGTTTGGACTTCGAACAGAAAGAATGAAATGGGATTATTTTACGATTGTATAGCAATATGTTTCTGACCTTGTACTGGGGCTACGTGCTCTGTAAATGCTAACATTTTACTGCTGTTACAGGTTGTCAAGGCCGATACTGAGTACTGGCACTTCTGATTTTTGTCCACATGAGTACCCTTACTTATTACTGAGTACCGCCACCTCTGTTGAGCATGGCATGACACACCACTGAGGTCCAGGAGGTCTGCACCACAATATTTTTTCCGATGGGTATGAATAAATAATTAAAGTTGTGAAATAATTGCCTAAAAATAATTACTTTGATACCCCAAAACTACGACAAAATTTTAAAAACAGCTACCTTAACACAAGAAATTCACTGCATTCCCATTTCAGTATAAAGACCAGTGCTTGAATGAGTCCCTCCTGCCCGGACCTACCTTTGGCCCCTCTCTCCTGGGTGTCCTCCTCCGTCCCGTGGAGCCTACCGCTTAAGAATGGCAGGTTCTCAGGTTTGGTGCCACGTGCAGCCGATGATGTGCAATCGACACGCAGCAGAGGAACCATAGAAAGCATCCAGACAGTAAGGACAGGAGGTGGTGGACACCTTTTATGTGGACAACTCTCTACAGAGTCTTCCCTTCGTGGCTGAGGCCTGAACTCTCCGGCTCAGGCTGCACACAGTGACGGTTAAAGGCCGTTCTGGTGGTGCAGCACCTGCAACCACATGTCAGATCTACCAGACACCAAACAAACATTAGTACATCAGCCTGGTTCACTGGGATTGATGGGTTCACCTACGGCTGCTTCCTCCCTGGATCTGACCACCTCATGGACCGAACCAGCCAATCGGCTTTATGTTCTTTAAATATTGATTTATATGGTTCATGAATGAATTAAAGGACTGGGTTTTAACATTTAGGAGGGTCTATTGGCAGACATGGAATATGATGTTCATTAGTGTACAATCACCTGAGTATGGGAATCATTGTGTGTGTTTTTGTTACCTGGTTTTTGGCCCTTTAATGAATATAAAAGTTAAATGCTGTTTATTTGTAGTACTTATAAACTTTATTTATAAAGTGCCTTATTAAGAGTTACAAGGTGCTGTAAAGTACAATTATTAGAAAGTCAAAACAGGAATAGCAATATGAAAACAAGACAATTCAAAACATTAAAGGGTAAAACAGTAAATTACAGTATGAAAAGCAGTTAAAACTACCCAGAGGATATTACAGGATAAAACAGGGGAGTTTTTAGCATTCTACATTAGATGGATAACCACTGTAGATTGGCCGGTACCTACAACTTGCTGGAGACGAGGCAATGAAGAGCGACTCAGGGTGGAAGCAGTCATTCGCAATAATTAAAGCCGTAAGGAAACAAAAGTGTAGATTACTTTTAACAGATCCTGAAGGGATAATATGCTTTTGGTTTTGGTAATATTTCTTAAGTGGAAGAAACAAGACTGGACCACTTCCTTTATGACTCTCGAAGTTCATGTTTGGTTGTTTGAGCCTTGCTTAACATTTGCTGCTAAAGGAGCGTTACACTGCTGAACCTTTCCAGAAATTCTGTTTTTGTTATTGCCTTTGTTGATTCATGGATTTATGAATCTTGAATTTGATTTGCTTATTCTACTTTATTACTGTATGATGTCTTCCTTTCCCGTCCTGGACTCAAATTATACCCTGCTCTCCATGTCCTCATCCATCTATCCACTCAACCATCTGTCACACAGTGGTTTATCCTGTTCGTCCATCGTCTCTAACCTGTCCACTGTCCTCCAAGTGTCCACACAATTACTATAGGAGACAACATTTAAAAATATAATAATATATAATATAAAATATTCTCATGTATCAAATAAACACATACAGCATAAAGGCGTAGTTTACAAATAATATGTTTATTGAGATGAATACTCATATTCTTATCAAAACATCAATTATTTCAACATAATAAACAAAAATGTAAAGGTTTTTTGAGAAAATACATTAATTCAGAAGGCACATTTCTAAAACATCGAGTTCAATAAGAAAGCAGTTTTGTAAAATATTTAGTTTCTGTACATCCATGATAAACAAAAAGCAATCACTCATTATGAAATATGCCTTTGCATTCTGTGTTTTGCACAATATAGACCACTAATAAATTAGTTAAAGAGTGAATATGTATCATAAATATACTGGGATTATTACTGTATATCCCTGTTTCTTCCGTTCCGACAGATATGTCAAACCACTAGCTTACATATTTCAAAATGGTAATGCTAATCAGCTGTGCTCAGAGTAACTGAGCGTTTTATGAGTCTCAAAACGTGACGCCCCGTCCTCTTTTTTATATTTATCCACTAGTAAAAATGAGGTATAGAATAACTGAAAGGAACCTGAAACAGCAGAGAACAGCCAACAGAAGATCGCCCAAGAGCCAAAGCTGGTCTGTAATAACCACTGATTCCATCTGCTACATCAGTATAGAGAATAGGGATTTAAAAAAATACCTATTTGAACATAGAAGCATTATACTCACTCAGTGGGTTTGACAACATTGGCTCTCTGATGTGCACACAATTCTCCTCATGTGACACAACTCTGTGTCTTATCGGATGAACTGTGAACTGTATCCGGTTGCATGTTCCCCCGTTAAATATCTGTATGTGGACGTTTGATTAATCCACATAAACAGCATTAAATATTCAGTTAGAATTATGGAGACATGTAAAGAGGACATGAGTAAATGTGTTGATCAAGGAACATGGGAACAACAGGATTTATGACAGGACATACAGCGTAAAGTGGTTTTAAATAATTATGTATGAATAAATTAATGAAAGGAGGGCCTCATATGTTACTGCTAATACAATACAGTTCAACATTACATACAGTAATGCAATGCAGCCTGTAAGTCACTGCCCCCCCCCCAGAGTAAAGGTTTGGCCACAGTTTGGGTGCACACCTCCGGCCTGCAGAGTGCAGTGTGTGTTCACAGTTGAGTTTGGCTGTGCATGTTCCGCGTCCAGTGGTTCAAAGTCTGTTCTCACAGCTGGGTGTTCTTGTTAATGTTCTTATCCTTCTCTGTGCTGCTGACGACCTCATCAAACTCAAAGGCACTGTTGTCTATGACGTACTTCTCTTTTGCTGGTTCGCCGTCGCCAGCTTCCAGAGACGGAGCCTCGCTGTCGCCGTCAGCTGAACCACGGCTGCATGACTTTTTATATATCTGGTAGCCTGTGGAGGAAAAAGCAGATTCAGAAATGATGATCAGTCATCTTTACATGCATGTGTCATGTGTCATTAAACCTTTTCTGTCAGTTTATTGTTCTTGTTTGGGAAAACTAGAAACTGGAAAATCTTTAAAGGGATGATAAACAATGCAATAGTTGAAGGGAGTTGTCCACACAAACATTTCCCTTGAAATATCTCCACTGAAAGTGCTGCTGAAGTGGAGATTTCAGGCCCAGAATACATTTTTGCCATGTTGTAGGCAAAACATGTGATATAAATCAAGCTATGAATGATTTATGAACAAAACCCTCTGTAAAAACCTTCACAATATAAACAAAAATAAAACTGGAAGGTTTGGTGTACGTAAGTTCTGCTAAAGTGGAGATGTCTTAGAATATGAGAAAAAACTCATTTTGAGAAAACTGCCTTTAAAGATATGTATTATAAATGTTCATACATTTTGCAAGACACTACAGGTGAATAGGGTTAAAATTTAACTAATAGATATCGCCATGAAACTTGCTAAAAATTCTAACTTTTGTAATCTGCAGATGCAAATGGACAAAATGTAGTCAAATAAACACCTAAATGTGTATTTTGGGTGTTTTGTGCCAGGCTAGTCTGAAAGTAGACAGCGAAATAACCAAAAATCTCAACATTGATGAAAAAGCAATGTTTGTGCCTGTAGTGTCTCACTTTAACTGTGTTAGTAGCCTTATGAAGGGGGGAGACAGCTTATATGTTCACCTACATTCTTTTGGTGGTAGATGACGGATTACATTTTCACAAACATGCTACTATTGTTTGAACACTGCCAAAACATTGCATGTATAACTCACTTCCTACAGATATGACTGCCACCACTAGCTGGAAGATGCTGTAGATGAGAGGGAATGCAAACATGACCTCCAGCTCAGCAGGGCTGAAGGAGAGCTGGACGATGGTGCTGCACAGCTGGGAGTTCTGGAAACCAGTCTCCAATGCGATGGTTCGACACCTAAACAAAGCAGGGAATGATAACCTTATAAGTAGGCACATTTATTAGTGTATGTACTTTTATGACTTGTAAAAATGAGTTGTTAACATTAAAACAATGCTGTCACCCTACCTTTTCCAGGGTTGACCTGCAAAGCGGGCCATGAAAAACCCCAGGCTGAAACCAATAAAGGGGTAGATAGTACCAATGATCCACAGGGAGGGAGCAATGTTCCAGGAGGACTGGTAGAGAATGCCACCAACCACAGCTATGATGATAATGAGAGCAAAGCCTGCAAAGGACCCA